TTAAGTTATCCATTTTACACTCCCTGTAAAAAGGCGAGCAGCACTACGCGTGCGCATATTCCATTATATCTTTTTCCCCGACTGTGAAAACTAGAACCTTAAGAACATCGATGCTCATTACTTAATTCGGTCATGTTAAAGCATGTAAGTTTCAAAGGTCGACATTCTGGTTAGTAATTATAATGCCGTTATCTTGCCCGATTTGAAATTTGATAGCCGCACTTGGAGAGATCAAGTACAACAGAACGCTGGATGTATAAACTAATCCATCTTATTAGCAATCAAAAAACCGTCCACCACTTTTCTACTGGCCGGTTGCTTACAGCATTCGTTTCGTAGTCCAAAGGGTATAAAACAAAAATTTCCGCCCAGCACTTATATTAGGACCATGATCTCCAACGTGTGCATAAATTTTCACCATGCATCATAATTTTAATGCCGATTTCAAAGTATTCGAGAAATTTTGGTCGCCATGTTGAGTATGAACGAAAATCACAAATATCCCCGAAGTTCCTGCACTGTAACTATCAATAAAGGCTTAGTAGTTCAAAATGTTCACAAATTTCCCTCTGCATGCGAACTCACAGACAGCAACCCCAAATAAATTACCACCATTTGTGCGCAACGAAAAATCGACTCGATTTACGATGGTACCAACCAATGTGATAGTTATTTACAATTTAAAATAATGCTGCCAGCAACCCATAAGACCCAGACTTAGACGGGCTAAACTAATATGTGCACAGTCCACTGGAGAAAGTGTCTATATATTGGCAGTTTTATCGGGACCTATAAAACTGAGAAGAGTAATCGAACTTGGTGAGAGATCAGGATCCAAATGCATCACTACAGTGGCAAACAGGTCCCAGAACGACTCAACAGGTGCACCGAACGTCACACGATTTAACGGAAGGGCTTGTCGCATTGTGCTACTGGTCACCCAAATTAGGGCTCCTGTGCTCAATTTGATCACTGACTGTAGTATCTCGAAACTCCCACCTGAATGATTGCTTAGGTATATGTCGGTGCTTTTGTATCCACGTCGAATTTCCAAGAGTGAAGTACTGGTTATAAAAGATGATAAAACAAGTTAATAAAATTTACTTGAATGTTGATGAGACAGCTCTCCAAGTCAGTCAAGAATCGACTAAGTGGCAAAGGTGCATGATAGGACCCTCAAATAAAGCCTAAACACTGAGTCCGTGTTGGGATATTTACACATGTTCCTTCGCATACTTCGGTAAAAATTCCGGGCATATAATTAAAAACGAACCCCGGATACATCAGCTATTGAAGCATAATAAGACTACCGGTCCGTGTAGCTAGCCAACGGTTAAACCAACACCAACTTCGTACTTCGAAGCGACGTGGTTACCAAGGGCGCTTATGGTGAAAGTGAATGGGAATGGCAGCAGCCGCTTTTCTAACATTGCAGAAACATTCCAGTTGGAGTCCAGTTGAGTTTTGAAAGTTACGTTTGACTTTGGAATGTCGTACTGGTAGCCAACAGTGGCGGTACTAGTTTGTTGCTGGTAGCTTGACTCAAGCTCGGCGGCAAGTTGTAAATTATCGTTAACTTTCATGTGAAAACTACTATGGAAAGCCAACTGAAAAGGCCGAACAGTTGCAGCAAGCTGCCAGAAGTCGGAAACATACTTTCCTCCAAAACTCCAGACTCCATCCTGACCACCAGGCAGTTGTGAGGACAAATGGTAGAAAAACATCGTTCCAAGATAACACCTCTTGGAAACTTGACGCACAGTATCGATCGCCGACATCACTTGTCCACGATTGATGTCAGGATTAATGAGGGTAATTCCAGCATTCCATTTACCACCACGAAATTCCGTGGAAATTTGTTGTCCGGCCATTTTAAACCGCTGGATCTGGGCGAGGTACCTCATTCGAATTAACGGAGAGACTTGCGTAACCATTTGTGCTTGTAGCTGCCCATCTGGTTGGATTTCACCCATCAAAACGGGA